AACTTCCTGAATGACTCGATAAAACAAATAATAAAAGAATAATGTTCAGAATAAAAAGAAAATTTACTTTCAATCTTTTTGAAATTATTCTCAATCTTTCTTATTGTAGTCTTTGAAGAAACTTAGTCATGCGAATGTGGTCAAATTAAAGGAAGTAATTCGCGAAAATGATGTGCTGTATTTCGTCTTTGAGTACATGAAGGAGAACCTTTATCAACTAATGAAAGACAGGTGAAGAAGAATCATTGAATCACTAATTCAAATTTTAAAGAGTAGACTTTCATAAAAATATTATGTAACAGGGACAAACTTTTCCCTGAATCGGTGATCAGGAATATAGTATACCAAGTGCTTCAAGGATTGGCGTTCATGCATAAACATGGCTTTTTTCACCGCGACATGAAACCTGAAAATTTATTATGCATGGGACCGGAACTGGTGAAGATTGCGGATTTCGGTTTGGCCAGAGAAATACGGTCAAGGCCACCTTACACGGATTACGTGTCCACCAGATGGTAATACTTACTTGTTTAATATCTATATATTTTAATTAACAATTAGTTATATGCATAATTAATTATGCAAAATGCTTATTCTTCATTGTCTATTGTTTATAATGTACTCATGACATGGAAAATAAACATACATGAAAATAAACATGTATTATACATGTAATTAATGATACAGATATGTATATTAGTATATTCAATATTTATTTCCGGTAATTATCAATGTATAACAAAAATATCAGCCAATCTTATCCAAAAAGTTGTGTTTATTTTTATCTACAGTTTGTTCCAGAAATTACACGCGTAAATGTATTTACATATTCGAATATCTTCTTATATATTAATAATGATACAAAATAAAAACTTAGATACGTTATTACAGTTGTACCGTATATTTTGATACATATATACTTACATAATTCAGTACCTGTGTATTTATATAAAAATTACACGGATTAAAACATGTCATTAATAATAATTAACAAAACCATGACCTAAATTGAAAGCCCTTCCGAATGATTAAAATTCTTTTAATATCACTTTAGTTACTTCTAACTAATTTAAGTTAATTTATAATTAATTTTTATTTTTTTATCTATTTCAGGTACAGAGCGCCAGAAGTGTTGCTTCATTCAACGACCTACAACAGCCCAATCGACATTTGGGCGGTGGGTTGTATCATGGCAGAACTATACACATTTCGGCCACTTTTCCCCGGTAAAAGCGAAATCGACGAAATCTTTAAAATATGTTCCGTGATCGGGACACCAGAGAAAGATGATTGGCCAGAAGGATATCAATTGGCCGCCGCTATGAATTTCAAATTTCCAAATTTTTCTCGTACATCGTTGAGCATTTTAATACCAAATGCTAGCCAAGAAGCAGTAATACTTATGGAAGATATGTTACAGTGGAATCCTATTAAAAGACCTACAGCACAACAATCCCTAAGGTAATCAAAGAATATACACAATTAATAAATAAGAAACTAATAAATAAGATCACCTAAATGTTATATAAAATGCTTTAAGTAAAGAGAACAAAATTAACTGGTTGATTCTGTAGATTCTAACAAGAAATAATTAATGATTATTGAAACAATCTATTTGTAGGTATCCTTATTTTCAAGCAAACATGCCCCGCATAATTAATAGTACAAAAATTGGTGTTGCATCTCAACGAGATCTCGTTTTGAACAAAGTGAATCTTCCACCCCCTATATCTAACAATAAGTCATACAATTACTCCCAAGAGGGAATCAGGACTCCAATGGGATCCAGGTGAATTAAATCGATACTCGTATCTTTGAAACCTTAGCATACGAAGATAGAATTACGTATTTCAATTAATCCCTTAAAGTTCGTTTTCTTAATATTACTTTCGTTACGCAGACATGTAGAATTTCTTATTATACATAACAGTTTAAAAACAGTTTTTTTTGAAAAGTAGTGTTTTATACAAATTTATAAATATTTATGTAGTAAAATAATAAAATTTAGGAAAGTATTTTTTCTTGGCATTATTCCCTAAAATTTAGTGAACTCTTATATTTGTTTAATCGATAAATAGTAAAAGTATATTATTAGCGACTTTTTATTTATATTTCAATAAATAAGAGCAAAAAGGGAAGAGCATCAAGTGCAGCATTGTAAGTTATTTTAAATAGATATTTCTAGTAAATGAAACTTATTTATCCGTAATATTCTTATCAATCTATGTACTATTATACGAATACACTCAAATTAACATAATACAATTCTAACTTTATATGCTAAGGATTAAATTGATGTCTAAAGATAGTAAATAAATATACTCCTAATTGCAGAGCGCAAGAGAAAATGATGCAACCCCAGCAACAGCAACAACAAACGATGCTCCCCCTGTTGAACCATAACAATTACATACGCGATAGCAATGCACATAAGTTGGACGAAGACGATTTTGCTGAGCTCTTGGGGTGCGTTGCTCGAATTTCCTAAATGGCCGCGTATTAAGCGGGATCCCCTGTGTGCACCGCGACACACCTCTATATAAATCTAATCCTTGTGAATTGTCTACGTCAGTAGCAAGATCGTACCCGAGAACGTGAACGCAAAGCTAGTCCCAGAACGAGTGTACAAAGAGAACCGTGCCAATTGGAATGCCAATTATTTACCAGAGAATCCACGGCAGGCTAGCAACTGGGTTCTGCCGGCATGGAACGAGCCAGCGGCCATCAATTGGAGCAAATTGCAGCCGTCGAACGTGAAAAACGGCCAGAAAGCATCGGGGAAGCAACATTACTTCAGCGTGGCTCGATATGTCGCTGGTCAAAGTGCGAGTTTATCGTCCAGGTATCGAACGTTTCAAGATCTAAAGCGAATCCTGATCCCTTGCTCGCTGATAATACTGGGATGTACGTTGCTGTACTGTCTGATCTGGAAAAACGAACTTCACAAATTTATCACGCGTCTGGACCTGATAGAATTGTTCTCTCGAGATTATTCTTTACCTACTCGTAATTAGGTACTGCCTAATGGACGGTGACTGATTTTTCGAGATTAATTTTCCGAGACTGAAATTCCTCTTTTCTTTTTTTATATCTTGTGTACACCGCTTCCATTGTAAATCGAAGGTGTTCAATAAATGAAATCAACGATTTGTTCGTTTAATGGTTTTTCGTTTTTTTTTTCTTTTTCGTTCTTGAAGAAACGGTGACTGCGACACGAACAGGCCTAGATTAGTACGGAACCTGGTTGGTCAACCGGTGGAGAAGTACGAGGAATTCACCGATTCCTTCTGGTTACCTAGGAATTCCGTTGAGAATCAGACGAGACAATATTATATTCCACGAAATCGATATCTCACCGATCAGACTTTGAGATTGCCTTATCCCAGCGTTTATGGTACACAAAACATCAGTAAGTACTTTTAAATTTATTCATATTTTTAAGACGAAGATTTTTTTCTATGTAAATATTTTTTCTATGTAATAATTTATTATTAACAAATGATGAATTCGAATAGAAAATACGAACAAAGGAACACTTCAAGCAAAGGCATACGGAACTGTATTGAACACAAAAGGCAGCGGAGGTCTCCATGGTCGAACCGACTGGGCTGCTAAGTATCTCAAATGACTGTTTGAAAACTAAGCGTACATTTAACTTAGCGTATTCAATTTATTTAACTGTGATAGAATGGCGTTTACCATTTCATTCCATTATAAAAGAGATTCAGATGAAAGTTTCAAGGCCTTTAAAGGCAAAGTTTGGCGGCCTTTAGGAATATAAAATATCCTATTTTGTTAATTGATTATTTTCTAAGCCGCTCAGATGATTATACTCTTTAAACAACTTGATTTAATATTTAATAACAAACGGGCCTTAACTTATTGAAATAAGTAAGAAGGATCTGAAAAAGAAAAGATGTGCGTTACTTAAATTTGTTAACAAGTATGTATTATTATAATAGTGATAGTATTTTGATAATACTTACGTATAGAATTCAGCACATTAACTTTTGTAAAGAAGAAAGGGAAACGATAACAATTAATTAATGTAAAGGAAAGTATTAGAGGAAACAGTATCGATTAATGATTATGGTTAAAAGTGTAATGTTTTGAATCGTAAAGAGTATTTATACTTGGATAAGACATATTAAAGAATATAATTATATATATAATTATATATATATATATATGTGTATATACATATTTATTATTTGTACATGTTATTAATTACGATGTGAAGTAACTTCTGATATCTAAAAGACTAATGTAAAAATTGATCACATCTGCCCTTTTTTGTATAATCAATAGCATTCTTTTAACGAGTACATATTAAAGGCTGTACAGAATATTACTCCATGTCGCTGACGTACGGATAGTTACATCATAATGAAAAATATGATTATCAAACAAAAAAGGACTCTCCCTATTCTCTACATGCAATCTTTTTAAGCATTCTTATACTGTTCATTCATTATCATACTTCACTCATTTCATAAGTCTATTACGATTTTTTTTTTTTCTCTAGTTATCCTTGTATAAATTTTACTAATTACGTTCGACCATTCGAGTATCTTTTTGTCACGTGCTCTTCTTTCCACTTTCGTTTTCTTTCCTCTGACATAGTTTATTTTTTTTTTTAATAGATACATCATGAAACTTATTGTAAGTTTAATATACTAATGAAAGGCAATAAAAAATATACCGCAGTCGCTTAACGAACCACTAAAATATCTTTTCTCGTCTACGATGCGATTATAAAATTGGAATTCATTTCATAAAAAAATATCTCGAAAAAGGAACGTGCCGTGTTCTTCTTCTTCTTCTTTTTCTTCTTCTTCTTCTTCTTCTTCTTCTTCTTCTTCTGTTTCTTTTTTGTTTCTGAACATCTCCCAACACTTCTCTTAAATTTTCCTATTTGAAGAATTTCTTAAAAATCCTGCTCGGCAATTCGATATGTTGAAAGTAAAGATACACTTAATGACTTATTGATTATCGAATCTTAAAGACCTTACTTCGTATTGTGAGTTCAAAAAGAGTATCGATGTTTTGTGCACCCTAGTGACATCAGACAAAACAAATCATCCTACGAGAGAAATTGAATGATAGAATCGATGATACGAATCGAAGATTGATATAATTAATTTGTATTATTTCAAACTTGTATGTGTGTAAGTAGTGTACGTATAGGCAATTCTCGCGTATACGTGCGTCGTTTTACGTGTAATCCCCGGTTCGTGTACACGTGTATATACTTCATTTAAAGGATCTCTAGATTATACATATACAGATTTGAATATATGAAATACATCTGTAAGCTGTTTGAATGGGTGGTACATTTGATAAATATTACGCATATACATTTATTCATTAATCTTTTATACGTTGAAGTGTAATCCATCATCGGAACGTTTCGTAAAAATGCTTCCGAGCTTTCAATCGTCGGTTAAGTTCATTTAATTCACGAGCTTGGATGAGCTTCATTGTGTGTGATTGAATTTCAAAATAAAAAGTGAGAAAAGAAATACAGAAGAAAATTCTAGCAGAGAATCTCCACCATTTCTTTTTTTCTTTTCCATTGTACAGCTTTAATCTTTACAGTGACGTGAAAATATGATGTTAGAGTTTTGCAGAGTGTATCTATCCAGTGTGAAAGAGTTTCCATTCAATGGCTATATAAAGATTGAAAATATTTGATTATAATTCGTCCCACGTAACAACGTGGATATGTTTCTTGCGTATTAACGTAGATAAAAAACGCGCTCGAAGGAAACACAAGCTTTTCTTTCTTTCTTTTTTTTTTCTTCTTCCTCATCTCTGTTTCATACGGAAGTATGTTGCAAGTATACGTATCTTGCATTTATAATTATTATTTATAATTAACTGCATATAATTATTAACTATTCACGCAGACATATAACAATTTCTTACAGAATAACTAGATTGTGTAAATTTGCTACGTCTCAACCATTGATCTAACAGGTGCAGTGCTGAGAACTACCGGGAAGGACTGAATTTGGATATAATTCCCCCCTTTTTTTTTTTTTTTTTTTTAACGTCGTTCCGGACAGTTCTAGGATTAACTTAACGTCAACGATCTTCGAATTAAAAAACAGCTCATCCCGAAGGATATGATTTAATCCTTGAATCAAATGCGACCTTCGAACAAGTTCAAGGCAGGAACTTTTAGGAAATATTATTCTTTTATTTCTCTTAAAATTATTTCAATAAATAAAGGAACACTACCAGTTAACGTATAGGATGTTTCTGCCATGTTACGATTGTTCGTCATCGTATTTATTATTTAAGGATTAAAGGAATTATTCGTTCCGCTTCCCATGTGCAACAAATTGTATAGCAATTACAATATATATATATGAATATATATATATATATATTTTTTTTTTGCACTCAACAATAAAATCTAATAGATATCGCTATTAAATTAGCCAGAATGATATGAAAGACAGAATATCATTGAAGAAAATTTTTAAAACTATTTTTTCTGGCTCTTAATTTATTCTACAGAAGTTCGAAAGAAGTATTTATTTAACGTAATGCAAATACAATATTGCTCCGTTCTTGCGTTTTATTGACTGCGATCACGAATTTTTGTTAAAAATATCATTTACTTATTAATAAATTACGTTCAAAATCCGAGTAAATATTGTAATAATTATTGTAGTATTTACGAAATTATAAGAATCGAGAACTCGAATCACTTTGTGTGTGTGTTCAATCTGGTGTGTTCAATATTTTACGATTTTCTGAAATTGAAGTTTTTTTAGTATTTCCATAAATTTATTGGTATTTTTTTCTTTAGGAAACAGTTTACAACAATTTAAACTAATTGCTCAAATAATATAACAATTTAAAATAATTGCTCAACAAGTTAATGAATAAAATCCTAATTTACAACGCAATGTCTTAACAAACTTATTCGTACAAAGCATCAGATTCAACACAACACACAAACGTGCGTATCCTAGTGTACAATCGTATTGTTAACCGAGCTACTAACATTAACGAAAACTTTTGGAGATATAGTCGTGGATGCTTCCATCATACCGGTAGTTAATGTACTAAAAGTACTATTAAACATCGAAGTGGATGACAAAAGGGCTGACAAAACAGTTACCTTTGGGGTAATGTTCTCTAATGTTGGTAATGTGGAAGACATAACATCTGTTACAGCGCTTGACGTTGTATTGTTAAGTGGCATTATCGATGGGCTTAATGCTTTTTGACATACATTTTTCAATTGAGCTGGTAGTTCAAAGCGAGTGTCAAGTATATATGCGAACAATGAGCCTACTGTCAAACCTGTAGTGTATGATAAAGTCATAATATTACCTAAAAAGATACAGTAATGTTATACAAAATGAATTGTCGCAATAAATTATAATCAATGAAACCTATATATATATACCTGCTAATTCACGATGTCCTTCTGATACTTTGCTAGGTGCCTGTGTCATTGGTACCGATCCAACGATGCCGTTCGTAACGCCAAGTAAACAAGAAAGTAGCAACGGATACCCCTCTCCAGAAAGTATTGGCGTACTTCTAGGTAGTGCACAGAGTAAAAATAAAGGAATCAGTATAACTCGAACACCCGCAAACAATAATAACTGGGTACGTTTCCAATCATAAGGAATCAACGCAAGTATCTGAAACATTAAATGGTAAAATGTATGTACATGCAAGTATATAACATCTCAATTTTAAGTGAATATATTCGAGAAAGATGGAAATTCTTTTTCTATACCTTGCCCAATACATCAGAAGCATTAAACGCCGTCATTAAAATCACCGGCATCCATGATTCAAGTTTACAGGAAATAATTTCTGACATAATTCCAGGGTACAGGCAAAGAGTTACAAAGTATGCTAGACCAATGCTGCCCATATACGGGCATATTATCTTTGCCACTTCAAGTCTTGCAAGAAAACCCTCTTAAAAAATGTTACATACAAATGTTATCTTCGAGAAGAAATATTGATTTGATGACATAAGAACTGAAAGTTAAAGAATACTTTTGATTTCAGGCCACGGTTTGCTAGTTTGAGTCCCATATGTTCCTCTCATAACAACTACGTCTTCAACTTTGTATGTAGGACCAGCGCTACCGGGAGGATTTCCTGATGGCGCACCAGGTTCATACACGGGATTACTGAATGAGAATGGCGAATATTGATTTGTTCCTAGGGATAAAATTTATCGGCTTACTACTACTAAACAAATATCTCTATTTGACATATTAGCAAGTATAATTTTTACCATTTAATTCAGTGTTTCCACTCGCGGATTCATTTCCTAGGGGACTAGTCTGAATCTTTAAAACCCCATACTGACCTTTCGAAGGATCCCCGACTTGATCCAATGGATCCATCTATATAGAAACAACAGTCAATATGATTATTCAATTAAAATTACGAATTAACAATAATCGTTGCATACCAGACCCACATCTTCTGTTGGTTCTAATGTAATTCGATTCCTCTCCTGACACAACGTTATATAGAATTGCACGAAGTCAGTTTTGCGAACTTTCTGATTTAATAAGAAACACATTAGAATCGTGCTGTTGGACAAAACAAAAAACATGGATGTGTTGCTGCGTTCATCGTCGAGTAAAGACTTCGTTAATATTCGATTGATTGATACCCAAAGACCAGCAATACCTACAAAAGGAATACGTAGTTTTTTAATCAATATTTCATTAGTTTGATTTATTTTAAATGAAACAATTATTCGAGTATTTTTCTCACTTTCTCCAATCATCACCGCCTGCGTATACCGGCTCGGAAGCATTGAGGTGTATCCGTAAAAGCTCGATTGTTGAACTAGTCAAAAAAATAGCAGTTTCAGTGTAAAAAATGCACATTCAAGTGTAAAAAGTATTTCGTTGAACTAAATAAAATTCTTTACCTGTACAACCGAGCGATACTATCGCGACAACGACTAGATTAATCGTGTAAGAGGTGGCCGTGTTGAAAGGCTCCCACCAGATCTCGGAAATTACAACAAAATTTAAAGTGACGAAGGCCACCAGATATCCTACAATTCATATTGATGTTATTGAATTAAAGTAATTTTGTATAAATTGTTCTTTAAAATATTCTTTCGATACAGGCAATTTTTACGTTGATTGTTAAATTCTTACCAAATGTTATCCGTGTATTTAGAGACAATGTTTCGATTAAAATATTATTCGCAAAGACTGCGAAGAATGCCATGATGATATAGACAACTGACATATCGAATATTACAGTAGTTCCGGGATATCTTGCTTGAAAAAAATCCGCCGCTATAATGAAACTGTAAGAAATAGACGCATCAATATTACAACAAGCTTCCGTTAACAATAAATTCATTTTTCAATGCATCATTTTTTATTAACAATCTATTACTAAATATAATCATGCAGTATTTTCATATGATAACTCCTGGAAACATTAGCCAATTTTCAATATTTACAATTTATTAAAAATAGAAAATCTGTTATTAAAAATACAGTGAATCCTTTGTACAACATTCTTGTTTTATGAATAAAAGATACATTTTTTAGAACGATTAGTTCCTCTGCACGTATATAAACCAAAGAGAGATAAGCATTAGTAGTACAGGTTTTTAAAAAGAAAAAAATCGAGAATTGTATTAAATTTATCTATTGTGTTACATATGAATTATACGTTCATGCAGATCAAAGGGAAAATCTGATAAATACATGTTTGTTTGATTTTCGATTATAATATCGCAATTAATCGTAATTAAAAAGGAATATTTTTGCAGAGAGAAACCAAAGATACAGTTACTAAGATAAGCGATATTTTTTAAATTATGAAACTAGTGGGAGAACATATGTTTGGATTCGA